CTCACACAGGTTCAGCAACAATTGCCTAGGCTGCCGAGGGCTACTGTGCCACGGCGGACACGCACAAAAAAAACTACCCGTGCCTACCTCTGCAACTTCACGATCAACAAGACCACTGTTGGACGTTTTATGCAAAGCACATTCGTTTACGTGAAAAAGAGCCAGGGTGTTTTTAAGGGGCTCTACTGTACGTACAAGGTTGTCGCGGGTAGTAAATAACACATCCGAGAAGCAACACTGGAAAGTCCACCGTCTCAATATGTATTGAAAAACTCTTTTTTTTTATTTTCACACAACAGAAGTGAACATATATCATATCTGAATTATTTAATAAACTGTCATTACCCATGTGTTTGTATTTACAGGGGTCTTATGCGCAAACATGAAGCGATGAGCTCACAGTATGTTTGTGTTTCCGGCCAGTCCTCGGTGTAGAATACAGCGTGAGGACACACCTGCCCTCTGAAGACACAGGTGTGGGTGCCTGTGTTAGATCCTCAGGTGAAGTCGAGTCTTCTGCAGTCTGCAATGTAATGACCCAGACATGTTTGCTTGTCCTGCTCCATGAAGTTGCCCACCCGCCCGTCGAACAGCACAAACGACGAAACTCGCCGCAATCGTTAGTGCTGCGTTTGTGCCGCTTTCGTTTCCCAGATATAGCGCCTTGTTTTACGGGTAATCACGTGACTATCTACAAGGACGTTTGCAGGTACCAACAAACTCGGTACTGATTGTGATTAAAACAATGGGGACAATTTGTTTTCCGAGTCTGTGTGGTCGATGTTTCAATATATTTCAATATAGCGCCTTCTTTTCCTGGCTGTGACGTCACTATGTGACGTTCAAAACAGCACATTCACGACCACCAGATCTTTCAGTTGTGATCTTTTGATCAGACTTTGCAGCCTTTATACGAATAAACAGTCTTATATTTAGGGAGGAGTTACTATGTTAGTTAATTGGGTTAGGTGTTTTCTTTTAATTTTTAACCATGTTCTCGAAAATGTATTGCTTGTGTACTCCTTTCATTGGTGAAGAGACACCGGTTTCCAAATTACCGCAGGTACAACACGATAGCTTATATTCACATTTTTAGGCATTAGTTTCAAGATCGATATAATTTAACAATAAAAAATAAAATTGAAAGCACGAGCACGATAATGTAATGATCATAGACTTTTTATTTCTATTCATTTTTGAAGTACAAAGCAGAAGGTGATTCCCCTACCTTAAATATACGATTAAAATGGTTAAAATACCATGTATTCATTACAGAAAGCAGCGGAGACAGTTAAATTGCAAATACAAAAATAATTTATTTCGAAGAGTACGGGACATTCTGAATCAATAAAGGCGTTAAAAAGATAAGCCGATGTAGTTATTTTACAAAGAAGTAAAGCACTTTAAAAATAGATTCTCACTGACACTAAACAAGCCGATCCAGCAGGTGCTGCTAGCTCGAACAGCTCTCAGCCCTGTGATTGGCTAAACCCCCGAACAATCCGAGCCGCGATTGGGTGAAGAGTGAGAATCGACACTCTGATTGGATAAAGCGCAACAGCGGAAGTTCTGTGTGTACCGTGTGTGCTGTATGAGCACGCTGGATATACAGTAACACATCCATTGGTTTCCAATTACTGATCAATCTAAGAGAAGCCGCACTGAGGTAAAAACTGAAAACACAGCGCGTTCACGACTTCGATAGCATGTCATGATAGACGTGCGCGCATCACGATCACATCGCGATACCCATTGCGACTGGGGCATCACTGTCATGGCGCCACTGCCGCGACATTGAGTCCATATATAACGATATGACATGCCCACCCCCCATGTCCTGACATGGAGTCCATATATCGCGATATGCCAAAAACTGTCACGCCCATGTCGCGACATGAAGCCCGTATATCGCGATATGACATACCCCGGCAAAAATGCCCAGCCCCCATGTCGCGACATGAAGCCCGCATATCGCGATATGACAAAAATTGTCACGCTCATGTCGCGACATGAAGCCCGTATATCGCGATATGACATACCCCGGCAAAAATGCCCCGCCCCCATGTCGCGACATGAAGCCCGCATATCGCGATATGACAAAAATTGTCTCGCCCATGTCGCGACATGAAGCCCTTATATCGCGATATGACATACCCGGGCAAAAATGCCCCACCCCCATGTCGCGACATGAAGCCCGTATATCGTGATATGACATACCCTGACAGGAAATGCGGACCTCATGTCGCAATACAAAGTCCATATATCGTGACAAGTCCTATCTGGGTATATCATGTCCTGATATAAGATTTTTGTTGCGACAGCGGTGCCAGGGTGGCATGGAAGCAAGTCGCCAGTCGTGATATACACTGCCGCGATATACATGCGATATTCATGGGGTCCTTATCATAACATGCTGCAGAGGTCTTGTCGCGATGGCATCCCACAGTTAAGCGTTTGGCAACGGCGTGTCACGGTAGGGAAAGAAAAGGAAAACGTGCCTTCGAAAATAAAAACCACAGATAATACAATCACGGTGATTTTACATACATTACAACCACAGGTTTATGTCATAGATGGTTAACTTGTTGGCATGCGTCATGTCTTAGTATTATTCCGTGCATGGTCTCGTGATCACCGGAAAAACAAAGCGCTATATCTCGGGAATGAAAGCAACACAAACGCTACTTTCAACGGCTCAAACCGGCACAAACGTAGCACTAACAAATGATGTGGGTTTCATCGTTTGTGCTGTCTGTAATGGGGCCAACATGACGGAGCTTTTACCCTGCCTTTAAATATTCAGCAGATTTGAGCATAACATACCAGAAGAACGTGCACGCACGTATGGGTTTCAGAGGTTGGAGTAAATGCATCGCCCCAACGGTAATATCGAGTGAGGCGCCATGAGAATAAAAACTGCGAAGGTATTCAAATATTAAGTTCTGAAGATCATTTTTGATCTTTCATGATGCTTTTAAACTAGTATGAAACCCAAGAAAATAGTACTCTGTTTTCGATGCCAAAAGAAACCTAATTTGGAAATTCGTGACTACCCACAAGACTTAACACTGAATTGTTATAATCGCGTTACAGTGCTATTATTAAACCAATTCATCGTGCCTTTAATTGCAAGAATGGTCTGCTAATAAAAGCGTCAAATACATACTTTTGGATGGATTTTAGCGCTGTTAAACGTTGTTCACTTAAAAATATTGCAGGGCATTTACAAGTGATCTAAAAAGCTATCTGTAAAATGCACACTCGCATCTATCCGTCAATATTATCTTAATGTTATTCATGCATTCCAAAACTTGTAATTTGTTTACAGGAGAAATTGCAGAACCTCTTCGTGCTTAACTACTACAGGTCGAGCATGTATCGAGCTGCTACTAGCAAACGCATGTGCACTGCCGCTACTTACAAGTCTAGAAACACTTGTATTCGGGAAGCCAGGCTGTACTCCTTATAACCCAAGATGCCTGTAGCATCTCATGTGTCTTATTTATTTCGGGACTAGTCTGGTCATCTACATGCGGCTTTTTGAAAAACGTACTGTAGATATACAGTATGCATTTGTTTTTCCGTGTTGGCTAATTAACCAAAAGCCTAACGCTAGATATCTCTAAGAGTGTCTGAAGACAACGATAACCAATTAGGCTATCACACACGTAATATTAAAAATAAAATCATTTAACGCAAACAAGGGGGAAAAATCTTAAATTACTTTGGACTGATTGAGTAGACCTAGGATCAATCAGGGTGGTCTACGCCCCTGCCACAAACCACAATATAAATATACAAAAGACTAAAGCTTATTAAATTGTTACTCTTTGAAAAGACACACATTGTACATAACACAAAAACTAGAAAAATACTTGAACAATCAACTATTGTTGTGTATATACTGTATAGTATTGATAAAAAGACATTGATAATTTTATTTCCACTTTTCCTATATGTATAATACTAAATAGAGCCACTTTTCCTATATGTATAATACTAAATCCTAATGAGGTAATTCAAAGAGTGTATTCAATCCCTGGGTAGTGACTGCTTAAGGCATTAAACTTTGCATTCATAATTAAAAGTCTGCAGGTTTGCTGTGACAGTGCAGACTTCCTGAGCATATGTTGCAGCTCAGTGGGGGAGTGCTGGAGCAGGGGATCCTGGCTAGATGCTGTCCTTAGGGTCTCTGCCACTCTCCTGGGGTCCTCACTCTCTTTGTGTGATGTCTTGTTTAGTGGGTGCAGACTGAGCACCTCATGTGGAGAATGAATATGCTGTCAGCTAGCGCATCTGACAGCATATTCATATGAACAAATGCTGTTGAAATACTCGTTTGGCTGAACTCTACAGCCTTCAGGCATTAGGAGAATTATTTCTCCTGGTACTAATACTAAAACAAAGTTATAAATCTTTGCAGAGGATCTGCTGATTTTCTAGAGCTTTGAATTATTGTTATTGCTGCTTACATATAATGTAATAAAGAACTATTCCACCTATCAGGGCCATACTGTATGTCTGGATTCATGTAGACTGTAACCTGTCACACCTGTTGAGACTGGCTGGATGAACTAACTTGACACTGATAAACAGGACTGAAAGACCGAAAGCCTCAGGAAAGCTAGGTGGTCCTTAAAATACCCTAGCTTCGCGATTACATTTGTTAATTCTCCCTTGTGTTGTCCTCTAATGGTATACACTTGTTGGTAGTAGTGATCACATGCTGCTGGTTTGGAGAGGTAGCAGGGATTTGGATTCCAGGCAGCAGTCTTCTTTCATCAACAGAATGATAAGCCGGTTCTCTGCACCTCTCTTCACCATACTGGGTGTGGTTGATGAGTGAAAGGCCTTGCTGTATGCATGTGTTTCTGTACACAATGCAGTATTGGTTTCATAACTTAAGCATGATTTAAAAAAACGTTCCAACATTCAGTGTAAGAACACCCACCAAATCTTTTTTTTTTAATTCAAGCAACCATGAAACAGGAAACAATGGAGAAGCTTCTACAGATTTTATTTTAAAAAAGACACATTTTTCCTCTACAGATTATATTAACTTAAGTACAGCTGGTAATTGTAATACATTTTAAGTCCCCTTTGCATAACATTTTAAAACTATGGAGCACACTGATGCAACTACAAAGAAGGTGTTTTAACAGTCTTGACCTCCAAATGAATTGTGTCTACTGAACGGTGTAGCTCACAATTCCACACAAATGTTGAGGAGTAAGAAAGCTGCTGTGAAAGTATAAAAAGAGCTAGTCAGTAGAAGAAGAAGTCAAAGGAAGTACTAAATAATTAACAATAAAGTTCTTCTCTTATACGGAATGTCTTATTTGAGAGATACTTGCTCATATTTCTGAACAGAACTCATATGAACAATGGCTGACATGTTTTTGCATGCTGTTAAAGCAAAAACGTTAGTCTGAAAAAAACCCAATGATTTTTAAAGTACTTTATGGTGAATATGCAAGTATAGGATGTAAGCCTCTATTTAGAATATGCACTGAAGCATAAACACGAGGCTTATCCTTCACAGATATGTTCCATTGTATTTTTAAGGTCTCATTAACTACTAATACCACAGAATGCATTATTGAATACATTTGAATACACTTATATTATACAAGGTCGTTTGCATCCAATGTCATATTAGAACAGGCAAATGACTCCACAGTAAACACAGAAGGTTCCACATTGCATTCTGTCTCCTGAGTGTTATCTGTCTTGTTGAAAAACTGAAATACTTTAAGGTCTACAACCGAAGACTGCAGCTGTAGTAATCTAATGGAAGACAAGTGACATATCTGATTTGTAAAGACAGCGCATTAAATGCTTTGGAGTTCAGGACGTGCTTTCACTTTGAAATTTGCTGTTCAAAACATACACACACTCATGACAATTAAGATTTCTGGAATTATACTTACTAAGACTTGTTTATTTGTCAGATACTGGAAACTGCTGTTTTGCTACAATATTTTTTTCTGGAAGCAATGCTATACCTTAGAAAGCTATTGGACATGACATTCTATTATGGTTTTTCAAGAAGAATTAATGCTTACATAGTTATTGCTTTCCCAAGCATGGCAAATGTCAGCATGCCTCTGATCTTAGAAGGACGCTGATACTTGAATTCTAGTTATTCATGTTTTTGTTAATAGATTAGATTAGAAAGGCCAGCTTTGTGGATTTATAATATCATTTTTTCTAAATAAGTTATTTAGTGATGTGATAATTTGTACAAACACATGAGTAGACTACACCTTTATCTTTAGAAGTATGAACAGGTGTTATCCTGAAAATTAAAACAACTGTCGGTGCTCTGTGTATGGCAAGCTCTGTTGTTATACATACTGTTAGCTGCTTCAAGAAGAAATGTCAATATGACAAGTTTTTAATGTCCTGAGATGAAAAACATTTATACATGGTATGGTACTGTATATGTATGGCAACCACATTCAGTATAATTAGCAGCAAAACAGCTGGTTCCTCTTAGGCTTTAGAGACACATCTATTCCAAAAGAAAGACTCGTCCCTACAGCAGATGGTAAACAAAAGCACAAATACTCTGTGCACGTTAAAGTGCATCAGGAGTGTAACATAACACGGTATGTTTCTTGTAGTCGAACGTCTGCCTTGCAGAGACGCTTGTTAGTTTCACCTAAAAAACGAGTTCAGTTGGTGTTTACTAACAATGTCAAATAAGATCACAGGCTGCATTTACTGTAGGAATCCTTTTTGTTTAAATACAAGGCCCATCCGCTGTGTGGAACATGTGTATCTTGAGCTGAGCAAATTGCTGTTTGAGATGCTTCCTCGCTGGCTGAAGCTTTCTTTCCAATTCAAAGCATGATTTTGTGTCCTCATATCTGGAGTCTGCAGTTCCTCCCAGAGGTACCAGGATCCATTGTGTTGGAGCACGCTGCCAACACGGACAGATGAATTAAGGAAGATTTCCAAAGGAAGCTGGAAAGAGAGGAGACAGGGAATAAATAATGCAGGTAAACAGAGATAGGATAAGCATCTCTTGGTATCTTATCAAGGGTTTAACCACCTTTAAATAATTGTATCTGCACAGACTAAGAAGAATTAAATGTGTTATGTGTTTATGTTTACATTATGTGTTTAGCAGTCTTTCAACACCTAGATTCTAGATTCTAAGAAGGTCACAAGAAAGCCACATGAGATCACAGTATGTTTAAATCCATTTTTACATTTCTGTTTTAACCAAAAGACATTTAACCCAAATACCTAATGAGTCTAAAGATCACTAATATTAAAGGGAAAATCCTACGATATCAAAAGCCAGCATCTTCATTAAAGTTACATTATTTCTGAAACACATACTGTAAGATAGTTGATAATATTTCTCTGAGGGAATTCTCCAACATTCCTTTGACAACTTTTGACATTTCAAGGCAGGCCCCACAATGGACAGAAACTAACTGAAAATGACACAGTTTTATTGATAATCAAATCTATAAATTAAATGTCAGTTTGGATGCTACATGTACATTACAGGGTAAGAAATAAATCCTATTTGATAAATGAAGAAAATAAATAGTTCAATTAAGTAACTGACAGAAAGACCCTTGCTATGCACCAGTCGTTAATGTTGTACAAGACAAAACAATTTAATTAAATAGTTAAATATGAAGCCATTAATATATTACTTTATCAGCCTTTATCAGCATGACTGTCCAAGTCTGGTGTCTAAACTCTTGGGAAAAAGCTGAAAAACATTGATTTCTCATCAAGGAATAATGCCGTTATAGTAAATTTATTACTGTAGTGAATATCTAAAACTTCCAAACAGATTCATCAGAAATGAAGTGCAAATTAGGTGTTGACAATTTAGAAACCACATTTGTTATTAATTATAAAGTGAAGACTCTCACACAGATGCTGCTCAATTAAAGAATGACACCTCTGAAAACCTGTTTGACACAGAGGTGTACAATTCCATAAATAAAAGTCTGGCCTTTAAAAATCAGACCGTTATTCAATAGGGAAATAAAAAGCTTTGTTTTAATTTTAAAGAAGCAACTAATTAGAAAGCCTGTCACTACTGGTAATGGCCTGGAAATGAAAGCAGAAGGAGAATTGTCCATCTCAGAGCGCACACTAACTTGTTCAATAACGTACAAGCGGGCAAAATTTAGAGGAATCCTTTAATCTAACTCTAACCCTAACCCTGATCTCTGGGATTTGGGAGGAAACAGACGTCAAGGTGAGTTTCAGTTGATTATACTGAAATATCACCTGAAATAAACCCCCATAAGTTGAGAAATGAAAAAAAAAGTATATTTTTATATTACTTATATATTTCACATGGATTATAATTAGGGTATCTCAAGATTTCAGGCACTGGCAACCACAAAAATCTACACAAATATGAAAGCTTAAACCCAACCAGAGTGAATTTCTAAATGATAAAACAACAACTGCAGGTGAAAAGGTAATAAAAAAACAGGTGGGAAAATATTTGATTGTGTAAAAATGGACAACGCACACTGTATCATCACATCTTCAGTGGTTGATAAAATATTTTCCCTACTATATGTAAAATGTTATGAGTTCTCTGGGATGAGAAGTGTGGCAGAAATAAGGACTGACCTAAAACATGTGACTTAAATCACGCCTTTATTTTAGTCTGTTCATCTCTGGGGATTTCTGTGAATACAGAAATTGGTTTGGTCCAATTGTTTATTTCTTTAGGTTTGATTACATACAGTAATGATTAGGCACTCTGGCTGTGGGCACCAATAACTGAATAAAACTGGAGATTTTAATCAGGAATCCACAAATTTTCATCTCCATATTTCTCATTACCTAAACACAACTTAAGAAAGTTTACAAATGACAGAAGGCTATTTGTAACCATTCACTTTTACTAGTGACTTAATGTTCAACAAAATCCATCAACCCTGTTCTTAGGATCCCATCTGCCTGGCTAAATTCCTACAATCCTCTGCGTCAGGGATGGGGAGGCTCCAGTCCTTGACAGAAGGTATGTACAAGAACTTTTCAATTATAAGCTAAAAAGAGCACATGTTAAAAAACAGATATATGAATTATTTATTAAGTAATGACGATAACAGAGGGAATGAAAGCATGAGGATCCCACAACAATCAAGGAAAAAAGACGCTAAAAATTGTCTTCTGTTTTGTGTTATGAGTGCTCCTAAAACGATTCAGAATAATAAAATGCCAGATAAAATTAACCATGCAGTGTCACAGTATTTGTATAGAGTATTATATAGTGTATATAGTGTTTGTGGAGCCTTATGTCTGGGTTTCTCAGTCCTGGTCTTTTCACACCAGTGTCTGTTCCAGATTTTGCTGCCACCTGAGCTCTTAATTACTGTGGCTAATCACGTTATGACCAATTTCAACTCTTCCAAATGTAATTCGTGGCTGCAAACCAGATTGTACTCTACTCCAGCTCCTGGTGTCAGAGCATCTGGAATATATGTAGAGTTAACCAATTAACCAATGACAAGATGTCTGGAAAATTCAGCAGCTGAGAGAATGCAAAGTTAGGAATACTTACTAAAGATACTTTATAAAGACAATATAATTTACAGCATTTTCGCTATATGATTAAAAGGCAGCCTATCAAGAGTTGTTTTAACAGTAGCAGTTCTTTACACAAACTGCAGACAGACTGACCAGGTCTCTGTTGGTTGTCTTGGCAGCAATACAGATAAGGTGGAGATTTTCTGAAACCAAGTAACAAAAAAAATGGTTCAAGAGAAATCATTTAGAAAACAGTCCAATTGAGAGCTCCATAACGAAGAAGAGTTGAAACAAAAAACAGACATATTAGCAAGAGAGGAATGAAGTTGAGAAGAATGGTCTGAGCTTTTCTTTCTACCCCAATGTGGTCAGGGCACGTAAGCAAAGTTCTTACTTTGTAAGTCATATATTGTAGATTTGATTTTTATTATGTAGGATTTTGTTTTTCTTCAGTATAAAATCCACTCCAGCATACAGTTTTACATAGCCATCTTCCTAATTGTTTGCATAATTGTTAATTAATTCAATTATATAATTAAGAAAGTGGTTAAACCAAATTTTTGCAATGCAAAGAATTGCTGTGTTATTGAGTATGTGTGTCATTTTGTAATGTTAGAACATTTAGATCCATTCAGTAAATGACAAAGAAGTATTGAAAACATCTGTGGGAACATCTCCCATTTTACCAAATGTTCAATGTTCGACATAATGTCTCAGACCTGTTATATCATACTTTATGGCAAACTAATGACAGGTTTAACAACACTGTTTCCATGACAGTGAGTTTTCCTGTGGAGTACATGGCTTACAGATATATTTTTAATGCTGCTCAGAGATCAAAGGACACTGAGGGTACATGCTACAGCTTTAATTGTGTAAAAAAGCCCTACAAGCTATTTGTTATAAAATCAGTTAGAATTAAGTGAAAGCAGTGTTCATTCTATAACAACCAGATTGATTTCCGAATTAAATTAAATTGGCAGAGTACTATATATAGACATAGAACTCAGTTTCAGCACAGGAAAGATTCATTTATACTCATTTATATTATATATGTGCTGAGCATCAAAAGAAGTGTAGAACTGTGGTTGTTTTGTGACAAAATAATGTTGTAAAAAGGAAATATACTGCAGATGAAGTAACAAAACTGATGAAGAGTAAGAACATAGGATCACATGAAAAAATTAAAGCAATATTTCATGCCAAGCTGTTTCAACTAGTCTTGGCTAAAAGGACCCATACCTCTACATCTGTGAACATCTGTGAACTAGTGTAATGTGAAGCACTGCAGCTGGAGTCACCACTGGAGTTGAGCCAAATTGAAATGAACAGAGCAGGAAACAGAGACATTCCTTCAGAAAAGAGAGCTACCAATTTCATGTCTCTAGTCTTTTTCTGGTTCAGGTAAACCCACCTTGATTTCAGCTGTTACCTCAGGAAGTGCATCATGAATACCCACATGGAAAAATGCCTTATATACTAACTTGCAATAGCCAAATCATTATTACTAATTACAAAACTAATTGCTGTGCATGAAAACAGCAGATTGGCTGGTGTAAACGAGGCATAACTAGACCGAAGTGGCACTGAACTGTTGTAACTCACTTTCCTCAAACCGAAATTAAAATATATGAAAGGCAGCATAAAGTTGTTAAATATTTCTAGTTAATGATCCCAATGTTAAAGGCAGTTGTAATTCTTTAAACTCATAATACTTAAATGAGCTCCCTTCAGTGGCACATGTTCCAGTGTGATTAGACAGGTATAAACCAGAGCAAATCATGAAGCTATATATTAGCTGAAATTTCACTGGAACTCTAAAAACCGTTCCTTGTTTTTCCATAATTAAATAATCGCCACAGAGAAGCTAATGTTTTGAGCTTCTGTAGCACAAGCACACCAGCGATAAAACTGTAGCCTGTACAAGATGCTGATTTACCGGCAGTAAGAAGATTTTTTGACTGAGGGGCTATTTTCTGTAAAACCAGACAAAACAGGACAGTTCCCCTGAGGTCACCAGATGTCTAAAATGTCCTGTGGCCATGTCCTGATAGTACAAGGGCTTATGGCAATGCAGCAAGAAAGGGTCTGGATTAAACAATCAAATCCTAGTGAACTATAATCCATTTTCCTGGAGGATTCAAGTACCATGACTGGTAATCTACACACCATGTAAACATAAAAGGTTGTTTAATATTTCACTTGTTACACTGCAACTTTAAAACTTGATTTGTTATTTCAAAGCTAACCATGACAAGAGACAAACACAGTTTAGATTCTAAGAAAGAATATTGCGCCACATTTAAGAAATGAAAGTAAAAAGAATTGTGTTGACTAATTTCAAAATGTTGAAAAAGATGAAGTTACTTAGATTAAATACATTCATAATGCATTCAGAGGAAACACCTGAATGGCCAGAGGAAGCTAAATAAATATGAATGGGAGTGCAGTATGTACCAAATGCAGATGCCTATAATATATTTGACTGCATAAGAAATGTCAAAGGGCCATAGTTATAACTGAATGGATGGAGGAGAGAACAAGCTCCTCAGACGTCCCTGTCTGCCCATTATCTTTCTTTATACAGTATTTGAATGTTAACAAAGTAGTTTTTTTGATTTTCTACAGGGAAAATGTATTGCATTTAATTTGAATAGCAATTGTGGCAGTGGAAATGTCTGCACTGTTCCCGGATAAATTGCTTTGTAGCCCAGGAGCAACTAGAGTGCCCATATACCAGAGGAGATAATGAAGGCCAGCATTGTATTTAAGGAGCAGCAGTACTGTCAGCTCAAGAAATAAATTATCCAATCTTGTACGCACCACAGTGTGAACTTCTAAAAACATCCATGTTTTATATTTAAATAAAGTATATATATAAATAAAATAAATATAATCCAATATAACTATTTTAATTAAAACAAGAGGTTCTGTACATGCTGTTTTTGACCGTGGGGCAAATTTATGAGCCTGCCTTTTCCATGTGAATAAGAGTTGGTGAGGTATATGTTTACAGGCCAGACCCATAATAAATTTCTTCTTCTAGACCTGTAAGTGTCTCCTACCTAACCACATCCTGACAGGGCTCTTTAGGTCTGTTACTCTTGAGGTATCAACCATTCCAAAGATATTTATCACACCCTCTATCCTCCAGCTTTCTCCTGCTTTTAACACTGCAGAGATAAAAGAAAAACAGTGTCTTCCAGCTTCAAAGACAGTGATGGTACACGTTTTGCTGCAACATTTCTCTTAATTGAGGCAGCAAGGAAGCCGAGCTGACAATTCCATATAATTATCTCAATGTCAGTTTATGTAAATATGTGCTAATACATCACATAAAAATCTGTATCTACTTGATTGATGTGTTTGAAGAGAGAAAAAAAATAAAAATAATTTGGTGTTTGACAAGTTTCTTCCCTGAATTGTGGAATATATTGAGGTTAATGGGGGAATTATTATCATCGTCAATAACCCAACAAAATAAATTCAGAGATTTCAGGTAAAGTAATTTCTAATTGAACTTAAATAAAATTTCTGATTTCAGTTCGGTTTCAATGGGAGGTGCTGGCCATTAGCACTACAATCTGAGGATGACTGTAAATATTTCAGTATTTACATTTACAACTGTTTTTAAAATCAAATGATTATACCACAAACCTGGTCTTGCATAGAATTAAATAAGAAAACCAAACAGCCTAAGTCTGACTGCTTCGTCTCTGTAATGAACTGAGTGCAACACTGCGAGAAATGCAAACAGACAGTTGATAGCAACTATCAGAGACATTTTAATCTGTGCCAGCGAAGGTTTAATTCTCTGAACGTCTCAGGTGTTTCACCGCTATGCAATTAGCATTTGTTACCTCAAAGTCATAGCCTGTTGAACTGTTAAATTAAATTTGCCCTGTGCTATTAATAGTATTTTCAGACCATAGCCTATATTCTCTCTGCCATCATAATGCATATACACTAATTCGACACAGACTCGACACATTCTTTCAGTATTGCTAGGTCTGACCTTGCAGCTCTCTCTGCCAAAATCCACATACTATAGCCTCAGGCAGAGCCTCTCTCAGAGCAAACCTGATCTAAAAAAGGAAGTAAAAAGCACAAAAAGCACACTGTCTTAGCTGTTGGCGTGAAACAGCAGCAGGACTTTAATGACTACAGCTCCTTTGACTTTAGATTTCTGCTTATTGAGACAGCAGCAGGGGAAAAAATGAAATTTTCATGATCACATGCTTTTTCTGCAGGAGAATCTGTGGTTTTCTAGATGAAGAATTTGAGTTGACATTTAGATCATACTGGAGTATTGGAACACCTGCTTCATATAGTTTCTCAGACATCTTCATATACTTGGACAAAGTCTAATGGCCCATATATCCTGCATATATAAACTAGCTTGACAGAGGATTGTGAAAATTTTCATAAATATGCGAATGTTTTGTTTTGTCTGGGATTAGTGAACAATCAATTCTTGTGCATTTGCAGGTGGAAAGTTGAGAAATTGTTTCACCAACTGAAGTAATGCAGATCGTCAGGAAGAGAAAGTTGTATAATTTAGCCAGGAAATGCGAATTAACATGCCTAGTCTTTTGAAAAGTGACATACTGCCTTTAATGTCCAAGTAGTGAAGATCTCAGTTTAACATCTTGTATGGTCTAGTAACATTGGTGCCAGCCTTCATGTGGTGAAATGTCCCTCATCAAAAAGGTTGTGCAAAGTTGTTAATGATGAGCTATAAATGGGAAGTAGAATAAGACTGTTGCTTTAATTTTTTATTATTTGAATTATTTTTAATGACACAGTAGTCTTAAGCGTTGAAAGTAAAAGGAACTGCTATACTTTAAATATGCATTGACTCTAAAGGAAGAAGCAAAGGTTTATTCCATGCTGAAAAGAGAAAAGAAACACCACGTTTCGGCTGTGGAACCTCCTTCTTCTTCTTCTACACCTGAAGGCTCCACAGCCAAAACGCTGTTTCTTTTCTTCTCTTCACGGCACGGAATCAACCTTTCCTCTTCCTATGCAGCCTGCGCATGCTGACGCAGCTACCTACAGTTCTTGAACTTCATTGACTAGAAAGTTCCTGTTGATGTAACACCCGACACAATAAAGCAAAATCATGAATCCAAAGACAAACTGCACCACACTGGCCGCGCGCCCCCAGTTTGTCGACCCGTCTTCCGCTGCTGCCGAAGCTGTTGGAATGGCCTCGCTAGCCCCCAGGCTGAGGGGGGAGCGGGGAGGAGGGTGGGGGTTTGGGTGTCAGCGCCTACCTCGGCTGAGCAGCTGCAGGTTCCGTACCTCCTCTCGCACCTGCAGCTGCAGCACCTGCTGCAGGACCTCCTGTCTCAGCGTCTCCTGCACGATGCCCATGCGCTCCAGCTTCTCGCTGTTCAGCCGCAGCAGAGCTCGCCCTGTTGGGGGACGGGAAGCAGGCCAGGTGTCACGGATGTCGGAAAGGACGAGCCGTGGAATGACAGGAGAGCGAAAAGACCCTATGCGTGGCGGCGAGATGGGGGTGAGCCCGGGCTCAGCTGTTCAGGGAATGCCGTATAGAAACCAATGCCCTCAGGTAGCGGACGTGGGCGACCTGGTGCTAGGCGGGTCTCAGGACATCCGAACGGCAATGCTGAGCGAAGGCAGACCCGGAAATATACAGCCCCAGAGAGAGAGAAACACTGGAAGGACAGCAGAGAACCGGAAATGAGAGACGGGACAGAGAAGGAGCGCCCTCTGGGTGCAGAGGGCGTGACACCAAGCTTGTCAGTGACATCTTCACTACCTCTTCCTACGTCCACTCTCCATGAATGTAACCACTCTTTTCATGAACCAACATCGGCCACAGGAACCAGAACTGTAACATTATATTAGGGGAGCTCTCTTACCAAACAGTTTAATTGGATAAAGACAGGACATCAACTTCATTTCACACCGATGTGCAAAATAATTGCATACAAGTGTATGTATACATGTACATTCATCAAGCATACTGTATGTCCATATATTTCATCACTTACAATGCCCATAGAATGATAGTTATATTAGAGAAATGAAGTACACAGATTTTGCCTTTGGGATAACACCACCTCTTTCATTGCAAACTTTCAAAATGCTGTTCAGTCTTGGAGAGAAATGGTGTTCAAAGGCATCTTTGCAGGCACACTGTCAGAGCTCACATACTGAAAAAGAAATCCCAGAGGCACTGTCACTTGGCAACCTCTTCTAACTCTGGTGCTTATACACTCCTTATAACCTGTACTCCTAATTCTGATAAAATAGGTGATAAGATCTGGGAGCTTGATTTAGATGTTTGTGTACATGTTATTTAGATGCATCTTTGTGTGCCAATAACTCTTCAGTGATGTGAAAAAAATGTTAGTTGTTCTGAAACATTGAACTATTCAGCAGGATACATAAAAGCAAAACCTCCCTTTGAAACCAGATTAAAGATCTAAATAAAATGCAGGGGAAAAAACCTAAGCAAAAAAGTCAATTGAAGCTCACTCTTCAAATTAGGAATCAACTGCAGTCCTTTATTTTAAACAGTTTGAGAAAGCAGAGTGTAAGTCTCAGAAATTTAGCTTTCCATTATCCTCAGAAGAAAAATCACAATTTTATCAAATGAAAAGCCTTTTTCTCCTCATTAAACTGCTCATGTAGACACGTGTCCTTCAAATACAGGGAGAAGGGAAGAATTTATCTTTGTGATGGTTTAGCACTCTGAAGTCTTCATAGTAATTACAGATATAAATCACTCCCCACTCGCGTTGCTTATAACCCCATTTTCAACTGTTTTTTTCACAAAGGCTTCCTCAGACAAGAGGCACATGGGTGAAATAAATAAGAACCAAACAATAATATTTTTTGTGACTGTAAGAGTGCACTGTATTATTATAAAGGCCATGCTAAATTACATAAAAAACATGTCAGTAAAGGTCCATAGATCAGAACTGGAGCATAGCCAGAATTTATCCTATAAAGAGAAGCTACAAGGCTTTCATTCAATTGCTATTCAATACTCCCCACACTAAAATATGAGCCTTGGTTTTCTGAATTTTAGGAAGCTTAATAATACAGTAAATATCTTACTATCCTGAAATCTATCCTGAATCTATCCTGAAATCTACGTGAAAAGCCAGCCCATCATTCATTCCAAAAGGGGAATGCTCAAAGTAAACTTGATCTTCTGGTGACATTGGAAAGGACCAGTAAGATGATGCATGATGAGACAGCTGAAAACAGAGACATAGACAGAAATCACTGTCTGACTCCCTGGGTTCTTTAAGCACATCACTTTCATACAGTAAATCAGGTATTTAAACAAACCATGTTCCCTAACAAAAAAAGTACTTCTCTAAAGCTACTGTACATGACTTACAAAAAGACTTTTGAAATGGACTGCATACATAACGTAGTGAATGAATGAGGAAGGAGAAGAGGGATGTAGCTTAAAGCACTGGGATTCACAGAGCAATCAAGTCTGACCTTCAGCTCATCTGGAGAGTGGAACAGGGATGTCACTAACCTATATTTTGACTGATGAATAAGAGAATTGGCTGTGGGGATGTTATATTTTCCCAGGTCTATTCACTCACAAAATTCAGCATTTCATTATTTTTGCCTGAAGAATGAACAATCACCCATGGATAATCTTGACAGAAGGGACATTTTTCACAAAGTTACTTTTAAAAATATACTTTGTCTACATTTGCCCTTGAACTCCATAAAGATGCAAAGAAGTGCAGTCACCATTTTCTGGTTTCCTTTTCATGGAATGGTTCTTGTCTCACCTGTGAACAGATCGAGAGCAGAGAAGTACCAGATGTCTTTCCTGCACTATGTGTGTAATCTGAACTCACATTGCTAAAAATCTGCTTAAACTGTTCTGATGCTTTTCAACTGATTTCAACCCCTTAAGAAATGAAGAAATCCAACGCTCTTATCTGTCATGATCCCCTGCCTCTCAGGCAAGTCTTGCACAATGGAAACAAGATAATACGACGGAACATACTGGAGGAAAATAAACTTCGGAAAAAGAAAATTTCATGAAAACAATGTTCTTGTATGTGTTGTTCACGTTAATAGCTTTCATATTAAAAGGAAATTATGTCATATATATACTGTAAGTGTTTTGCGGTGACCACAATGTCACTTTTTTCTGCTCTGAACAAAAGAATGATGAAAATCTGCCAAAAATATTTTTCTTGAAAACAACTTAAACCATAACCAACATGGCCCAGATGGATATATATCAGGCTCTCTGCTTGTTTTCTATCTTTCCTAGTATAACTTTTTGTTGTTTTTAACACTCTGGGAGAAAAATGCCTACAGATTCACACAGAGATCAGACCAATGGCAACTTTAATCTTTTCACAACAGAACAAAACCACACAAGGTGATATTACTTTTCATTTGTACTCCACAAGCAGTCTCTTTGCAATATGTTTTCCATTGATTGTGTTCAGAATGAACTCTGTACGCTACACAAGAACTCACTGTTCTTTTATTACACTAACTATTTAGCCTGTAGAAACACTTTGTCCTAGAATGCTGCTGTCCTTGATCCTTTGTGAACAATTAGAGAGAGGAGATGAATAGAGTTCAATTCAATTCCCTTTAGATGGGCTTAATGTGGTTCCTAATAATTGCCTGAAGATAGCATTAGCAGGCCTGTCAACAATACTATTTCGATTGCAGCTGAAATTCTTAAATTCTGAATAGAAACTCCCTAAAAAAGTCCTAGGGTAAAAAACAATGTAGACAGACATTGTCCTTATAACTGGTAAAAAGATTCATAACAAGGAGAATTTCTTTACAACCAGAGCTGAATACCAATATTTCTCATTTTTTTCAGTTTACAGTTGCATAAGTAGATGTCTATATTGGTGTATTTATTGTTTTAACAATAATATGTATAAAGTAAGTGTAAAATACTGTATATATTACTTTATAATACAAAGTCTATTAGTAAGTTGCTGCTAGCAAAGAGTAAAATCAATAATCCAGGATGGTCCATTGTAATGTTGTCTTCAAAAGTAATCTGTTCTCTTTCAGTGCATTTGAAAACTGCCACCCCCCAAAAAAATTAATAAGGGAGCAGAGTTCTGCAGAAGCACTATACGATTATATACCACAAGTTTCCCCTGGATAAAAGTCTTGTGAACACTGGAGAAGAAAGACAAAAATTGAGGCCAGGGCCAGACAATGTGTTTTCACTCACTTATGCTCCAGTGGGCACTGTGCTGTGAATCAGCACTTAGACCGCTGTCAAAATGTGCAGTAGATTTAGACCTACACTGCTCAGCCTGGCACTGGAGGAATCTGTGACAGACAAGAGGCAGCTCTGTATGTATCATCGACCAAATGAGACATTTGTCTACTTAAGTATAAAACTACAGTACGCCTGTTGAACCGATTGTTATTACTTCTCTACCACACCTAATTATTTAAGTCATATGTTCAATGGAAACTGTTACCACTGTTGCTTCTGCCTTACATTAATTTGTATACATCCAATAAATAACTCAGTTGGCAGGATCAGCAATAATATATAATCTATATTATTTCTACACAGCTCAAGAAGGCTATAACCTTCTGTAATAAGTGAAATTTTTACTCATGTGTCTATGGGTAGTATAGTACCATACTGTATATTTTCCAGTTTTGTAGCCATACCACAAAAAAGTTTAGCAGTGACATCACATCAGATGTTAGTCATGGCTTTGATTTCAAGTAGGAAATTCAAACAAGCTCATTTTGTTCTTCCTCTCATCTTTTCAGTACGCGGGGGCACTGACCTATTAATTGAACTTGTCTGAGTATGCCAAGCCTCACAGAGAAGGGAACATTATGGGAACTCATTAATCATGAAATTGCGGTTTGAATTTTTCTGGCTGCATTAGCTATGAATGTAGCAAAACAATACGTTTCTAGAAATGTTATGCATAGTATCAATTTAAGATGATAAAGTAATATTTAAGTTATTTAAGGATCATTTGAACGCCCACAATAAGGCCCACTTGTAAAAAAAAAATGATGTTTGACTCCATTACCTGTAATAGCGTGATGTGAGAAGGCTTCTACGTAGGTCAAGTAGTTGTGTGGACAGTGCTTCTTCAGCCATTTGCACACATCCTGCTGTGTCCAGAGTACCACAGGTTTGGAGAGACTGGACAACGTGGGGCTGGTGTGGTACACACTGTACGCCTCCCCTGGTCTGATCTGGAAAAGGAAATAGAAATCAGAAATTGTTTTTGATTGCTGTCTTTCTGAAGTATCTTCCAGTCACAAAGTCACTAGAGCAGAAAATAAGCCCACAATGCCAAAAGGCTAAGAGTATGGCTGCTATTGAGAGTCCTAGAGAGTGATGTCACCATAACAGTTTCATCCTGCACAATGAGACATGTTACCTACTGTCAATAGTTCTAACCCCTGAATTTCCACTGTTATTTGCAGGAGCACCTCTACCTCATCATTACCACCCATCATTTACAAAGGCCAGGGCTGGGCAATTGCTCTATAGTGTAAAGAACAATTCGGAATTGACGATCCAAGAAAAAGCTGGCTGTCAAATCTGTTTTGCAAGCCAGCCTTGTCCCTAAATGAACTACCAACATCCAGTGTGATAGAAGGAAAGGGCTTCCTGTCAGCAATCACGAAATGGACCTAACGGACATGGACCCAATCGTTTCTAACAACTTCAAGTGTACACCCCTTAATGAAGGACAACCAGTCAGTAGAATGTTTGAAAAAAATACAACAACAAAAGCTTCTAATTTAAGAGCTGACTTTCAGTTCTGAGATGAAGGAGAAAAATTGCGCCAACACTCACAGGATTAATCTGGCAAACTGACAGTCTTTTCACATGCTCACTGATGCTTAGCTCAGTCACGCTGACATTGAACAATCGCAGAGGTACTGCACTCATATTGCGCACGCTGCAGGCCCAGATTTATACTGATGGTGTGTGTGGGGGCACCGACTGGATTTACTGTTAATCCTGAAAAACAGTCTAAGCTGAACCAGTGGTGCAGGGTTACAAGAAATCAGTGTGGTGAGATCACTGTCAGTCACACACAGTCTAGTCAACACTGTTTCAACATTGTCTTTTAAGGCAGTAGAGTTCCTCTTGCCTCTTCAAGCTTCAGTTCCTAACTGCTGAAGTGACTATATTGCTTGAGACTGGCAGAACACATTCTAGAAGGACATGCAAGGCCATGTATCTGTTTACAGCATCTGTATCTGTTTATCAAACAGGAGGAGATGTCCCTTATGCATGTTATTTTCTTGTCTCACTTGTTAGGGGTCTTTAAACAAGTATCACCAGTAATGGTTATCCAGTAAAGAGAGTACAGGATACAGTTTGTTTAGATTTTTAGTAGACTTTTGATAAGGTTCCCCTTAAAAGATTGATTTCTTTAAAAGCAGGTGGAAGGTTCCCTGCTGTGTTTGATCTGACAACTGGATAATGGGTAGAAAACAGTATAGATAAGGGATGAATGCTCGAATATTGGAGATGTAATTAGAAGAATACTACAGAGATCAGCATTAGGAAGCATATTTCTAATTTATATCAATTTAGATTCTGATATTGTAAGCAAAGACAGTTCAGTGATTGTAGCGAAATAGGAGGGTTATCAAACAGTTTAAAAGTTGCAAAGAAAATAAAGATGACTTAAAATTCAGAAGAAATGATATTAGGATATTATATAATGAAAAACAATATAAATCAAGTAATTCTAGGTATTAATTCTCTAGGAAGACTTTGTTGGGAATATTGTGTACACTTTAGGTCATATTAAAAAAATAAATTACAGTACTTCTCTGGATTGTGTCCAGTGAAAGTGTACAGAGATAACTTCAAGGGTATCTGATTCAAGTATTCAAGATCATCTTGTAAGGGTTTGACAAATCAACCCACCATACTTCTTCAGAATCAAATGTGAAACATTAACATGAGTGGAAAGCTAAGCTAGTGCATATACAGTGTTAAGAATTAAGAATATGTTTTTACACAAAGGGGGTGCTGCTTGTACCCTTTCACATGTTTCTCATGTTTCTTTTGCAGCACAAGACACAGTTGTCAGATTTTTCTAACAATGCTTATTCAGCAAAATTAGGTAAATGTAACACCCATGCGTGCAACACATTTCTTTTCTGCCCCTCTGCCCCAGCTGCTTCATATTCTGAGCACTCTAGTCTAAGGAGATGTGCTCCATCTTCACCCACTCGACATACAATCTATTACTGATCCACCCCTGAGACCTCCACAGACATCTGCCACTAAGCTCATAACCACTGCTCTTAAAACAGAGCAGAGGTACTGAGTTTGCTTCAAGCATTTTAATGCTTAAAGCAGGTTCTTGCAAATTCATTGACAGGGACATACCTTCAAGAAGTCAATGTAAAATTCTGTCATTTTCTGCCTCAGTACTAAATCCTATTAGCAAAAGCAATTTTTAATCTGGCAAATACTTCATTATGCTTGTCTGGTAATACACTTCCTATTCATTTTAAGCATCTATCTAAGTATGAGCAAGGGTAAGGATTCCTCCTCAGTTTTATATGAGAAAATGGGATAAGCTTTGAACCAGAATGCAAAACATCCATGCATTTTCTTGAGAACTATACTTAGCTATGTACTTGTGGTATATTTAAAGCGTCAAATCAATTACTTTTTCAATTGGACCAAACAGTCCAGGAAAATCTATCAAAAAGAATTTAGAATGTTGTGAGTCATGTTTAATTATTCAGAATTTCATACAGTGTCGTTTATAGATTTGATTTTTAAAAACAAGGTAAAACATAGGCAAACAAAGAGAAATAGAGAGAACAAACTTATCTTTAGCAACGATACAGTGGAAAATGTTACCAAAGGAAGCAAACACCAGTATGCATGGGAAATTTACAAACAGACAGCGATAAGCATTGTCAATGACAGCTCAGCACAGAATTCACTGAATCATTTAAAACTCCAACTGTTCTGGACTGCAGTGTGTGAGACCAGCTTGAAAGGTCATGTTTGGAAGGATGCATGTGTGTATTTGATTCCCTCATGGGATTTCTAGATAACTGCATCAACCTGGATTGAATATCAGTGTATTATTCCATTCTTTTCAAAAAAAAGAAAAAATGAGGATTCCGATTTTTTTTTTACAAATGGACATATGCAGTTACAACTGTTATCACCCATTATTTGAAAATAAAACCGCTCTCTAATTAAGTGTAATATGTACAGTTAAGGTGGGTAGCTGCATCAGCATGCGTAGACTGCAAAGGAACTAGTAATAGGTTTATTCCATGCTGAATAAAAAGAGAACACAACGTTTCGGCCGTGGAGCCTTCTTCAGGTGTGCAGGTCTTCTTTTTTCAGCATGGAATAAACCTATTACTTGTTCATACGTACAGTTTGTTGAGTATCATTTGATAGTTTGATAGCTTGTCAGTGATATGGGCTCACATGGGCTGATCTTAATTGTAGACTATTTGTATCATTAATAATTGTAATAAAAATGGTCAATTGTGTTATTTACATTGATTCTCAGAATAAACATAGCTTAGCAGCTTTGCTAAGCGAAGGACTTGGTATTTCAGGTATGTAAAAGCTAACATTATGAAGATTATGTTCTGACATAAAAAATTAACCGGGCTGGCAATGTCTTTATTTCTGCAACTTGGAAAAATGTAAAGATGAGAAGAATCTGTCAGGTCTCACTGATGGAGTGAATCAAACTGACACTTGGAATTTAATTAGAAACTGGGATCTGGAGAACGGAACTGTAGTTAATAGATTTGTGGAAGCTTTTACTATCAGAAGATGGGCTTGTCTGAATCTTAACAGAAATGGAACTTTTAAGCTGTAAAAGGTAGTGGTTTTTCAAACCGAGAGCCTTATCTTGAGGAGTGAAAATAACTATTGAGAAAATTTAAATAAATTTTGCCACTAAGGTGTGATATTGTGTGCAAAAACATGATGTATAGAACATAAAGAGGAATTTTAAAATGTTTATACCCTCTTTAAAAAAATAGTAAAAATTATTATTGAAAATAAAGCACACCTGTGAGAGAATACAAATTTTGTAAGCCTCTTTAAAGAGAAATCCATCAATCAGAGCTGAAAGTTTCCTCTTGTCTTTGCATGAGCTCCTGAGATCAATATGCTTCTATTTAACAATCCATCACAGTAAGCGAAACAGTCCCTTCTTGTTTGTACAGTAACTTTGCTTTTAATTTTATTTGTTTATATGAGACATGGCAATCCTATTCAATGCAGCCAAACAGCACTGTTGAAAGAAAAAAAAAACTTTTCAATATACACTGTATTACATACAAAGCTTTTTTGTTCAGAATAACCCTAGGCTGAATTGTATTAAATGGTCAACAGTAGTACATCCTAGATGAACTCCTCCTGGACAGGACCACTGACAGACCCATGTTCACCACAGAATAGTGCTACTATAAGTTGTTATTGGCTCTCAGGCTTATAAAGAGTTAATAGATAACTATTACAGATGAACAAATATTCAGTTTGGAATGTAGCTGAGACCATTCGTCCTTGTAATTAATAGCTGAAAAAACCTCATCAGCATGCTTCATTGTATGGTGTGTGCTTAATTAGAGACTTCATCTGAGCCAAGATCAGCTAAAATCATTTTAAAAGCTTACATTCAGGAACCTCTTGATCATAATTAAGATTGAGCATTTTGTTTAGTCTTGTTTATATTCCTGAAGTTTTTTGTATCTGTAAAGCCTTGAAGGACTCTGAAATAAAAAGCTCATGGGTAATACTGGCTTGTAGAAAAGACATTCATCTCTCATGCCGTATTAAGAGAGTTAAAATCTCAAGCTCTTCACACATACTTCACTGAACAGGGAGTAGAGAAATTACAAATACAGCTTCTATACCTGGTATTTCCCAGTTTTAATTCCTACTCCAACTTTTAGTTAATTTCACTAAAATACATGTTACCATATATGTAATTACTGTATATAATATAATTACATAAGAATGCACAAATAACGGAATTATTTAAGAATTTATTAAGAAAACCCATATACACAGAACGGAATATCCATTTATACAGAAACAATATCATGGACTCTCTTTAAACAAAAACAAAATAACCTTCATTTATTATTGTTGTTGTTCTTCTATAGCTTTCCTTTCCATGGATTATTTTAATGAGTAGGGTGTTATCTTTAGATATAGTTTGAGTGTGTAGCTACTATTTGTCAGAGTGTGAGCTTCAAAGGAACAAGCACAGCTTTATTCCACACTGAAAAGTAGAAAGAAAAAAAATACAATATTTCAGCAGTGGACATTTCTTCAGGTGAGAAGAAGAATGAGGAGAGAGAGTAGGAATAGGAGCCAAAGAGATAATGAGGACATAAGAAAAATAAAAAAGAATGTGAGAACAGTTTGGTCAGTAAGAAACTGAAGAGATGGAAATCGAGGAGGAGAATTCAAGGGCAAGCGTGAAAGACTGGAATCTATGGACAAATGAAGATGGAGAAAGAAATTAGTCAATATACCGTAAGGTTGATATATATATAAGATTATTTTCAAGTTACTATACATGACCTATATACGTAGGTTTGTCATGACAAAAGCAACTGCTAAGAAATGTATACATTATCATTTTAAAAGCTAGAAAACAATTATAGAGCTTCTGTATTGTATCAATACATTATTTACTTGTCACAGATATTATGTGCAGATACTTTAATGGAGACTGAATAACACACTGTTAACAGAATTAGAATTAAGAATTATTAGAATTAGCTTGTTACACAAAGTATCCTTAAGAAAGAGCAGAGACATGACAGCTAGCTACACACATTTAAGCATTACACTCTTTTCAATGCAATAGATTTGGTTGTGACATCCTGTGAGAATTGTTGTTCCATTAACAGTGATGTACTGTGCATTATACAGTACTGTATGTGCTATATATTACAAGAGACAGAGAGAAACCCATCTAACTCACATGGAAAAGCAATGTATGGAATCTGTCTGAAACTCATATTCCTGAAGAATAACAGCTTTTATCTTGGGAATAAGACTAGAGGGAAATTAATCAATGAATCCATAAGACATCCAGGCTCTCACCCACTCGGCCTCACAGGTCATCAATCACACCTTATTGCTGCAGAAGAAACATTTCTGTAATCAAAAGATCACCTTTAAACTCAAAAGACTCTCTTGCATCCACCTGGCGATGGGGAGCCATTAATACAATTCCAGGGCTTGACTTGAGATTACGGCTACAGCAATCCTTCACAGGGGCGAGGTCAGTATTTTTCCCGACAGCATTACAATTTCATGTACGTTCAATATGGGAAAAATGTTGAGGCTGGCATGTTTAAATGAAAAGTAAGTTTATTCCACAGTTTTAAATGTAACTAAACGTGGTGTGTAGAGCACACATTTTACTGTGCACACTTTATTTCTCAAAGTAAGAAAATACAATTGAATTTGTTCCAAAATTAGGAATGCAGCAAAGGTGTATTGACTGGCAATATCATTCTTCTTCCATCATTAGCAGTCCTATGCTGACCATCAGTCCCCCAGTTGTCTGAGAGCGGTCTTTTAGTCTAGAGGGCATCATGCTATGCTTGTCAATGTTATTTAACACAGCTATTTAAACAGTCATGCTGGTAAGGTCTTAGCCTTGCTCAGTTTCTGTTTTGTTTTGCTGCTGTGGGACTCGAATGCAAAACAGAGCCACACAGTTTCCTCTAAAGGCATGCTCCCTCTAGGCTCCACAGTGAAACGACCTTGGGAGAAAGTCAATCAGGGTTTGACTTTTCAGCATCTGTACCCAGAGGAGTTGATTTGGGATAAGCTCACCTCTCACCAGTCGAGGGGCTTATTAGAATTCCACCCTGAACCCCCTGAAGATCGTGCCGTAGGTGTATATCAGTCGATTCACACTTGTTTTAGTTTTTTTTTACCCCCAATCAAATATATCCAACCAACTAGCTCCCCAGCATGCAGTAGGTAAATTCAGGCACTTTTCATGCTGGCTAACGACAAGTTTTTATTCAACTGTATCGATCTGTGATAAAGATTTTATTCCCATTCTCAAATCTTTAAGAATCAGAAACTACCGTCTCACTAAATCACCAATGGTAAAATTCATTTTCATTTTTTCTCTTTAACATATTTACTTACAACCATAACGTTAGCATTTTATTTTTAAATGACAGGACTGTAAAACACTTAACAGTTAAAATGCCTTAAAATATAATGCTGGATAACATATGCAAAACTTCAGCAGTTTTATTGGAGTTTTAACTATTGAAAGGAAACTCGCAAGAGTCTAGAAATCCTGTAAATGTGTTACCCAAACAGATTCACCAGTTGGTTAAATGAACTAATTTTGATCTCAATATGTGGTACATAGAAAGTACTGTAACCAAGTAACATTTTTATTATTACAAGCAATGCTGTGGAAAACTCAATGGGTATTAGTTAGAGCATGATTAAAATAAACTGGATGAGGTTTCATACTGTAATATCCCTTCTTGAAGAAATTGTTTTCTTCTGGAAAGGTCAGCAACCCATGGAGGTAATGAGGAAACTAACACAAATCAAAGGCTAATCTTTCTGGGCCAGTGCCTTTGCTATTCAAATCAGAGCTAGCAGTAATGAACAGTGCCTGATGAATGTAAAGCAGGTTGCTGTTTAGTTTTGTTTATAATGTTTGTTCATTTGATTTGGTAGGTTGAGGAAACCAATCATATGGGACTGTTTCACTTCTCCTATCCAGCTCAGCAAGGTCAAATACTGTATGTTTTCCTGAGACAACCCGATCAAAAAACATGTTGCAGAATTTATTTACAGATTTATTTATAACATGTATTTTATGTACCACTAAGTGATCTCTGTTCTGCTGATAAATAAAATATTAATCTAAAAATAATAAAGTATATTTACATTTATTGATAATGCCCACAGATTAAAATAAGTGGTGGTGGTTTTGGACTTACTATATTGAATAACTGAACAAAGAATTTACCAACCAGTATGAAGCCTCCTGCTCTGAAGGCTTCAGATAGTCATCACGTTTTCCACTGTTATTTAAAGGAAAACAAAATCTTTAGGCATAATATTGAAATAAAAAATGCCACTAAACAAACTTGCATATGGTGTTTATTAGAGGCATCTTTACAGCAACTCTGATCTAGTCACTTGAGTGGCACTCTCAGAGCTACATCTATTAATAACTCCTATTAATAAGGGCCTCAACACTTCCTGATGTGTCACGTCAAAACAGGCCCTGACCTTATTCTCCAGGCTCTGCCCTAACTGCCAAGCAGACACAAACACCAACAGAAAATCAAAGCCTTGGTTGCATTAATGCAGTATAATGACATTCTTTCCAGTCAAGCTCCATTTTTGAAAATCAACAAACCAGTTTATTCATCATAACTCAGGGTACAATGCCACATACACCCTACTCAAACAGCACAGGCTATTTACTGCGAGACTTTGTTAACTCCTGTGTTAAAGGGGAGTATCCTGTGTGATGCTACAAAGGACCTGTACAGTACTTGTACCATAAATCTGCTGTGTCACAGGCTGTGCTCTGAGATCAATGAGACACAGTGCTTTTCATCTGCACCTGCAGAACTAAATCAAACATCAATCTGAAGAAAACAAATAGTTTAGGACTAAAGTATATTACACGAGCATAAAGTGTGATACATGAAGCCAGCAACAAAGAAACTCACTATCATTTTCAATTGTGTTTATAGATACTGTTCATTTTTAAAAGACTTCTATTTCTGGAACCAGACGTTCACTGTTGCCGTGCATCATGCATTCAAACACGAGCCAATTTATTTAATTGCACCCCATTACATCTCTGAGTTCACAAATATTTCTTCAGTAAGCCTGACCTGGAGGTACGGCTGTACAGAACGTACAGAATACAGGCATCAGATACCTATAAAAAGCTCAACAATTTATTGCTTAGTGCTGTCCACATCCTCATTTGATGTTTCATCCTTTTGCATCAGGAATTTTTCCACATAACAGGACAATGAACACTTGTTTTACAAATTTCACATGCGTTTGCGTGAGAAATTATAAGTTAAGAAACAGTCTGTTTGTACCATTCCAAAACTGGCTCTTTGAGGTTAGTCAGGAGAACCCATTCAATCAGTTGTCTATTAGACTATGCAATAGTATTGCATTATGGGTATTGGGTCTTAACCTTCAAGCCAGGCTATGTCCTCTATGTAACCTGTTGAAGTATAATGTGCTTGACTGGCAGTAGGCTTTGAGCTGGGTGGGGGGTCTTGTCTGAGTCTGAGTGGTCTTGTGTTGCATGTTGTTTAACCAAGTTCTCCTGGTTTATTTGATTTCCTCATATCAAATTGTTAGTCGTACTGTCAATCTCTAAATTACAGCTTTTAATGAGCTACAGTTCACATTATTTCCCTGCAGGAACAGATGTACCAGAATCAATAACTTTAACGCTGAGAATTACTCTTTAGGAGCTTGGAAAAGGAGGTTATAATGTAAAAGTAAAAATAAACTGGTTTAGATGGGTTAAAATTCATAATGCAAACTATATTTAAGTATATTTAATTACTAAACATCATATTTAAAAATATAAAACGTAATTAAATCTTAATATTCATGGCTTTCAATCATGCAATTACTACGCACAACAGCAATGAAAAAAAATGTTCTAATTAAATCCACTGTATGAATGTACGTAAAAGTCAAGAATATTTTTGGCTACAAGCTTGTTTCTCATTTTCTCAGAACAAAGTACTCATTGAAAACAACTGAGTCTAAACAGGCTTCTTTTATTTTTTTTTAAATATCTTTATAAGAATCCATTTCAAGGGGAAAAACCAATACATCTGTGAGCCTGTTTAATAATTCATAACCAAAGTACAGTACACACTGATGTTGAAGGCAAAGAGATTTAAAAAAAGCTCAGAGTTGTTCATTAAATCCACCCTATGAAACACATGCCTGTTTATGTCTCTCTCACTAAGAGCATCAAACATTTCAATGCAAGGTTCAATAGATGACAGAAGTTTATTGGAATGAAGTTTAGCAACTTGCGAAGGTGAAAATTCCTTGATAAACAATAAAGGTATTCTGCAGACATGCATGTGGTATTTTTTATGGTTTATTAAATTCCATATCTGCATCATTACGGCAATATAAATTCACTTAAGTCTAAAATAATAAGCTTAAAATAATTCATTCCTCTGATTTGCCTCCCTACTATATACTGAATAACCACAATTCCCAACCAAAAAAGAGCTTCTCACTGTGAAGCACAGAGGCAGACTGCCTATTGAGTGTGCAATAAAAACTAAGTGAATAAGTCAGTATTCATATAAATATTTTACATACTGTATGTGTCCACTATGCACACACGTATATAATCATTAATAATGCATTGAATTTATATAGCACTTATATAGTCCCAAAGAATCACAAAATGCTTTACATCCACCTCATCCACAACTAAGCACATCTCCACCAGAGTAATGTGATACAAGCCCAGAGTAGAATTTAGCCAGGGAATCAGGATTAACATCTCTGCTCTTTTAAAAAGTGTCATGGGGTCCACGTACAAAGGACTTCTGCTTAATAACTCATCTATGGGATAGCACCTCCTAATGTAAAGTTCCTCTTTTCACCATACTGGGGCACTGTGATACAGGGGGAAGAGCACCACCTACTGGTCTACCAGCAGCAATCTGGTTTTCTTTGGAGGTCTCCTACCCCAGTGCTAACCAGATCCGACCTTTCTTAGCTTCTGAGAACTGACAACCTCAGGCTACAAGGTGGTGCCATTGCAGCCTGTATACGCATTACGCTCTTACCTGCAGTGCCTCTGTGCCAGGCTGCTGCAGCAGTTTCACAGTCCTCCCGCCTGCTGTCTTCAGCCCTCTGCCATCATGCCAGGTCAAGTTACCTCCTGTCTTCCTGGGCAGCTGGTAGTTGAGGTCCTCCGCTGAGACAGTGTGCTCCAAAATGTTCCGGCAAAAGCTGAAGCTGGCAGCCGCTGCAAAGAGGCGGAGAGACGGCTGTCAGCACACTGATCTCCTGCCAACAGTGGGAACTCTCCGGGAGTGAGAACAGGCCACTCTGAGGGGGGGTTTTATTATTCCAATCAAAAAAATCCAGGTACATAAGGTCTAAGAACAAGACACAACTTAATTCCAAGATCAGCAAAATGAAAATTGCTTTTAACTGGTGAACTAAATAGATTCCATTCATTTACTCTTTAGACATTCAACCAAGCCTACAGTTCCCATATCACTGTAGAAAGAAGTGGGATATCTTTACTCAACCACTACTCTCTTCAAACTACTGGCAATCGGGCCCCAAAATAGACTTCTACCTCTCAAAATGAATAGCATGGTCAGGTACAGAACAATGTCAATATGTCCTCCTGCAACCAATTCTATCCCCTCCTTTAAAGGCAAAATAAGAACATGGGGAACCTTCTGCCACTCCCTAGCCAAAGCAAACCCTCTGTTGAAAACAAGTAAAACCAAAAAGTGGATCTTTCATCCATTGCCCTCATCACAACCTAAAGTGATCACGATCCTCCTAGAAGGATACAATAGGACTGGGCTATTTCAGAACCTAGTGGAAGCATTTCACATGCAGTTCTGTTTTTGATGCTTGCAGAGGCCTGACAATATCTGCTGGGTAGTTCCTAATATGTTGACCTGTATCTTTCACTGTAATTGCAGGCGCTAGTCTAATTCTGAACTGAAGTCACACTTCATGAGCTATTTTTTCTTGAATACTGTTTATCTGAAATGAAACCATAACAAATAACCCTACAGATAGATGTATTTAAAAATATTAGGGTGAGTTAAAAAGCACACTTCTGATAACTGAATAGGAGTTTGTAGTTTTCAGAAGGGCTCATTACATAAGCACTTCAGTTAGCATTACTAATTTGATTCCAACTACTGAAGCCATTTTCTGAGTACAAAATGTTTAATGAACAGTAAGCTAACATGGTTGCATATCAAACAGAACAGTTAAAATGGTACAACCCATAATAAGTTTTTCATTAAGCCTTATTCAAAGACTCCACAATGGATCTCAGCACTGTTTCTTTGAGGAAAACAGATTTCTAAAAAGAAAGTGCAGGATAAGGAAATGAGAAATGACCCTATTTATCTGCCCAAGTTATTAAGAGTATCAAAATCTAATACATTGCTGTGACGCCTGGTTCTACGATTGGTTTATGGATTGTGATATGAAAGTCCTTCTAGATTCAAGAGGGTGATACAGTTCAAGGCCGAATGATGAAGAACAATATTATACTACTGAAGATACTCAAGGTATGTGTTAGCACATTTGTTATTAGCTGTCGGAAACACTGAAGTGCTCACCTCACTACTGTCCCTTTTCTGAAGTAGGGAGCAGGGGGTTAATAAACACAGATAGCTATAAAAGTACTGACAGCACAGTGAGGTTGATGGTCCATGGCTGACTGCACTGACCATCTAGAGCTGCTGGGAAGTCTCTCCTGCTTGGTAAACACAGCCTAGTGATCTGAAACCAGCCACCTTGAATTGCTAAACTTTCTTCCCTGGATGTCAAAAAGCCACTACCTGTCATCTAAACCCATCATCAAAAGTGCCAAAGGACTTTGGCATGCTTTGCCATGCTTCCAAATCAAGAAAAATATTTTTGAAACTTTGGATTTGTATGGACAAGATACATCAACCAAAAGTACCAAAACGTTATGAAGGAGATTACATTATTGAATCCATTATACACTGACCAATGCTGTTCTTTACAACACGCATTTGTTGTTTTTTTCTGTATGTATGCATCGATATGCAGACGTGAGTATCAAATGCAAATGGCCTCTTCCCTCTACTTGTGCAATAAAATGGGGTTACAATAGTTTAACATTCATTAAATTTCCAAGGATTTTTGTTTTGCATTCTGCTATGTTCAACAAATGTGGATTAAAGGGTTTATTGTTGTTTTCAAAGCCCATATTTTTTGTAATTGGCCACAAGCACACATATAATAACATAACAGTTTCAAACGCTTCACTTAAGACTTAATGCTCAGATGCCTGGTCCCAAGGCAATCATAAAATTAAATTAGTTTAGCTACAATCTTTATTTAATAATATAGGATGTTAGATTAGAACAAAAAAAAATGTTTTCACAAGATCTACTGTTTCCATGCCTTCAATTCACTTATGGATTCAACGTTAATTAGGATGAACATTGAAATGGACAGGTGAGTAAACCTCATTCGCTATACTTAATCTTAATATGCAGGTTAATTAATTCTTTTATCAGAATTGTGGGTCTAATATTCATAAGCCATTTTGCAGGAATTAAATAAATTCTTATCCATTATTTACCATCTTTAATTGGGCTGTTCGTTTTAATTTTACAGCTTTAAATCCATAATGCCTATACTAAGAATAACCTGATATATCATCTTGAGGAGAACGAATTGAAATTAATGGCCGGAACAGCCATTGACATCATTGTTTATCCTCCTTTGGTGTGATCAATACACCCTATAATTCATTGGTTCTGCTGTTCTGCATATAATATCTCTCTTTTTTAAAATCAGTATTAGTGGATATATTTATGACTGGATTATTTACAGGACATGTCTGTGACCTTCACATTATGGATAATACAATACACACTGTACTTTTAATTTAGTCCTGCTTCACACATTTAAGATCTGGTCTTCTCTATGTATCACGGAGCGTTTTTTGCTCTCATTACTGAAGTATGATCACAGACCATTCATTTCAGGGGTCTTGCCAGGCTCTAGTATAAGGGAGAACTAGACTTGCACACTGGGCTGGTTGATTTGTAAGCATCCCCATGTGCAGTGGCCTAAGTATTTTCAAGGGCCATGGTAACATATTTAGCAACATTCATAAATGAAATAAAAGGTATAAATAAAATAATATGTAATCATGGGGCAATATAGAATAAACTGCAAACTATGCTTTCAAAGTTTTGAAGAGAGCTGCACACAACAGCAGCAACATGGTTGCACTGAGGTTAGGATTGCTCCCCTTGTGTTTACATGGCTCTCCTCTGGGGGCTCTGCTTTCCTCCCAAAGTCCAAAAACATGTTGGTAGGTTAATCGGTTCTGGGAAAACTGGGCCGAGGTGTGATTGTGTATGGGTCTGTGTGTGTGCCCTGAGATCGACTGGCTTCCTGTCCAGGGTGTATCCTTGCTTGCTGGGATAGGCTCAGGCTCCCCCCTGGTGCCGAATGGGAAGATGTGTTTAGGAAATTAAGGGATGAGAATGTGTAATCAGTATATATTGGAAGGTTATTTTAATTAGAATCACTGAGTACATTAAGTAAACAATCTGAACAACTGCTTTAGCCTTTATTTTAGTAGGATGGCATTTCAATAAATAAAGGCAAGTTTACTGATTACTCCTAGAGCTTCTTTTTGTATAGATCAATTTCTCTTTAAAGGAGATTTTTACATGGGCATGTTATTTTCTCTAGTGAAAAGCATGAGATGACTCCACTTTGGTAGACCAATACTAGGGAAGCAGGAATTTCCACAATGGAGGACAACCCCACTAGTGAACTCTACAATGGACAAACACTACCCTAGTGGACTTTACATTGAACAAACAGCACCCTAGTGGACTCCACAGTGGAGAACTGCAACTAGACAGCTCCTATGGAAGCTCAGCAAAGACAGTGAAACAAACAGACATAGGCTTTGTAATGATTTTTCTCATAGGTTTCATGTTGAGGGAGTTGAGTCCTGGTCTATCACAAAGAACCAGAGTTCAGGGGTCAAATCAGATTCTGAATCATCCTAATGCACCCGTGACAATGAAGTTCAAGTCTGATTTTCTGAAGGGAAAAGTCATGAGGAAGAGCTTTTCATTTCTTTGACAATAAAGGAAGCTGTGAAAAAAATCCATGTTGTCATGGCTACAGCATCAGCCTAAAGATGTCTTGGCTGTGCAAATGTGAAAAGTCGTTTGGAAATAGGACAACTGAACAATATCTATGTACAGGGGAATTATGTTGACAAATAGTTGTAACAGGATACAAATTTATTCGGGCCTTAAGGATGTAATTTTTTATAGCCATCTTAATTGTTCCTAAAGCTTAATAGTATCCTTTTCTTTTTAAAAAATGTTTAAAAAACAGAATATTTTAAAGAATGAGACTTAAGAGAAGGTTTTTTTTTCCTACTACACCCCTTCTGAATGGCCTATATTTGATCACATTTTGTTTGTACAAAATAACTTCCGTTATTATTCAATTTCATAATACAAAATTTCATAAAACAAAAACCTGGAAAAAAGCTCAAACAACTCTTAAAATCCCTGAAACACCAAACAGTATTCCCTAGCTGCTGCACATCATTATGGCTGACTCTGGATTTACTATGAAGAAGATCTGAAGGCTCATTCGTAACACTCATTTGAAGCGTAAATATATTTTATCTTAAAAGAACAGTGGTAGGCTTTTAGCTACCATGGAATAAAGTACATTTAGAATCCAGAGGCTTGTCACTGTACATGGACCACTTTCCATTACAGAATGTGAGAGATTATGGGGTGAATCCTGAGGAAACAGTCCTCAAACACTTCCAGCCACCTACAACAGACTATCCCAAAAACTGCACCTCACTTAAAAACAGTGTCGTTGACTACGTGTCTGTCCTCACTCTGGCCCTGTCAACAAAAGAAGGGTCTTCTGGCTCTGTCTCCATTACCGTCCTCCAAGCTCTACATTTTTATTTCTCGACACAAACAGTCACCAGAGAGTTTATTTTAAGCTCCGGTGACTTCTGGCAGGTGTTCCGACCCTTTTGAAAGTGTCAATGTCACTACAGTGCAGGTTATTGATTTCTCCACTGTGCGCGATAAGGGGCAATGAGGAGTAAGCTCTTCCCATACTCTCAGCTGTGTCGGCACCTTTTTTATAGTCAGATCATTTTTTCAGCAAAGAGCATCATTAACAAAGGGACAGGATGAGTTCCTCGCAATCCAAAGGCAGTGGACGAAG